TTCTGGGACACCCTGTATAGAGTATAGGTATCTCTTCCTTCTTCAGTCTACTTTCACGATAGTATTGATATACATATATTTCAATCGTTTGGATTTTTGACCATCGAAACATCGAGCGATATGTATATAATACTATTTTAATCGTTTGGACTTTGGACTATCGAAATGTCGATGATTATCGAGCAATATACTATATTAGTCGTCTGAACTTGGACCATCGAGCTATCGATAATTCAGCCATCTGAAGTTGGTTCGATGTAGTCGAGAGTATCAGAGATTTAGCCGACTAAAAGTATCGTTGGCTACTATCGACTAAATCGATAGTTTTTAGTCGATGGTGCCCATCACTAGGCACTACACCATCGTTCACGGATCGCCGTCATGAAGGTGCTTATCTCGTAGTCTCCCTCGAGACGCGGGCGATTTTAATCGCGCGAAACGTTTGCGATGTCTAACACTTCTAGACATCTTTTATTCTATGCTTTTAAAAATTACAAGCCTTCGGTTAATACGTCGGCTTCCATGCCTTCCGTAGAGATGTGTTCGATGTTTAATAACCGATCCTTCAATGTTTCTCGAACGAAATGATACTGAATATCGATGTGTTTGCTCCAAGCATGAAAAATGGGTTTTTCGGTTAGTTTTTTCGCTCAAAGATTATCGTTATATATTGTTACCTGTCCTAGATTCCTAAAACTAATTTCTCCCAAAAAGTTCCGAAGATATATCGCTTCCGTGGTTGCCTCGGCCAAGGCTGTATAGTCAGATTCCGTTGAAGACAGAGCAACAGTTTTCTGTTTCCTTGCTTCTCACAAGACCTCCGCTTACAATAGTGTTAGAATAAAAGAAAATCCAGTGTAGAATCACTTGTCATTCAAGCAATAATGCTCAATCCGCGTCAACGTAGTCCTTCATTGGATTGTTGTCTGGTATGAACATCAGCCTCAGAGTGCCCTTTAAACACCGAAGGATCCTCTTAGCTGCTGTCCAATAAGTTCTACTGTAACATGTAGTGAACTAGCTCAAAGCACTTGCTGGGAATGCGATGTCTGGCCTGATCGTTACTGCCAGATACATCAACGCACTAACTAGTTCTCTCTATATGGAAATTTATTTTCTCCTTTGCTGGGTTTTCTATGTGCTCTCGTTAATTTCACACTGACATCTATCGGAATTAGTACTGGCTTTGAATCAGCCATCCCGAAACGACTTAGAATTTCGTTGATGTATCCTGTTTGACACATGCCGATTCATTCTTCGTCTTGAACAAATTCAATTCCCAGGCAATAAGAAACGTTGCCAAGATCCCTCATCTCGAATTCCTTCGATAAACGTCTCTTAATTTCCCTTATTTTGTTCAGATGTCTTGACATTGCAAGCATGTCATCGATCTAAACGATAATTATTAACTCGTCTCTCCCTGGATCTAAGAAATACACTACGGTCCGGCGTTCGATGATTTTACTCCTAATATTCGTAAGACTTCATCCAATCGCGAGTTTCAGTTTCTTCTGACTTGACTGAGGCCGTACAGAGCCTTTTTCAGACAACATATCTTACCTCGATGTTTTAATTTTTCTAACGTGTTTGTCGCTCTTTTTTTAGACCGCTACTCCTTTCTTCGGACTGCATGATATTCTTTAACCTTTCTGTCAGTAATTTTGGGACTTCCATCAATATCTCTTAATCGATTACGTCATTTAAGTAAATCATGGTAACATCAAACTGCCTGATAAACATTCCGCTTCTAGCCGCTACAGCTTTAAGGAGGCGCATAAAACTTAAAAGAGCTACTGACGTAAATGTTTCGTTCAAATGCACTCCAGGACGTTGTGCGAATTCTTCCGTCACTATACGAGCCTTCCGTCGTTCCGACAACCGATCGGTTTGAACGTATTTCATCGAACGAAACGGCTCCCGACAACGACGCAATCATGGACGATTGATGATTTCTCACGTATCATTTTTGATAACTGATTTGACTTCTTCTGCAATTACTTTGGTACTACTCGTCTGCGCGAGTACCGGTAATTACTTCTTTCAGCGAAACTTTTGCTAAGCCTGCAGTTTCGGATTCCATCCATTCGACATAAGTGCGTGTTTCTTGATATTGTTTACGCGGTCTTCCTCTCCGACTGGTCAATATCTTTCTCAGTTTTCCATGACCTCTTCATGGAACCATGTCGGTGATCTTGCTTTGATCATCGTCCACACGATTTTCCGGCTGAATGATATCCACAGGTCTAATGTTCACTTCGCCTTGCTTGTTCTCTACAGTTCACATATTTTCCTGACGTTCATCCTTATGATCTTCTGGGATGAACTCTTGAAAGTCTCCGGTTCGTATACTATAATCTTCCGAAAAGTTAACATCTTCCGTTATTTCGAGTTTCTTCTCTTTCTGGATTGTTCTGAATATTCCTTCCTTGACACGTTCATCGAGCTTTCCTCTTCCGGGTGCTCTATTAAAAAAGTATGCTTTACATCTAAACTCTCGTATACGGCTCACATCTGATGCACTTTCAGTCCAGATTTCGAAGGGAGTTAGGCCATTCAATACTTTGGTACTAATTTCTTAGGTAATTCGAGGCTAAGATCGCTTTCCCTCCAAAAAATGATGAGAGATTCAATTGAATTAATAATGGACCTAAAGGACAGAGCATTGTCGCAGTAAGGCGTGACGAAATATGTAAGGGAAGTGCAAATCCATGGGACCCATTGGCGCATGCGCTCCCCTCCCCATGCAGCAAATTGCTAGTCATATTAAGCGCGTTTCCCACTGGCTGGCGGCGCCGTTTCGGCATTTCGGCGCCGCCGGCCAGTGGGAAACGCGCTTTATGGTGCACCCTAAAAGGTTCAGGTATTTTCAGTGCATCCTACAGTTGAAAATACATATTATAGATAGATATGCGCATGCTCACATGACCATGCAAACAATGGGCATGTGCGAAGCTATGCAACAGATTCAAAATAGTCCGCGGAATATTGTAGATGGCGCTAAAGTCTCTGACTAGCAAGTTTTTCCCTTCCATGTTCCCCTCTCAGCCTCTTGAATCCCTCGTCTAAAACTCTACCTCATGCTCCGTCCTTTAGATCCATGGTTTTATCCAAATTCAATTCAAATTGAACTCACATTAAATCTGAACTTAAGTCAAATAAAAATTTCTAACCAATATCGAGTCAAGAGACATAACAATTCAATGAATTAAAAAGATTAAAAACCTCACTCTCATCTCAATTTAACTGTTCCTTAATTAGGTATTGATCAACGACACGCTACCCCTGAAGATATGCATCGACTGCTGCATTCTCTTAAATCAATGCAGCGAGTTCGTCGAGCGAACTAACCAAGCCCAACACTCCCTCAAAGAGCTCCTAATCGGTGCCAGCAAACTCGATCCCATACAACAGCAACAACAACACGAACAGCAATTAGACACGGAATTGCAGTACATCTCGAAAACGTTTCCCAAAGAGGAGATAAAGGAGATAAAAGAGTTGGTGGAGTGCCACCTGGGCTCGGATTACGCGAACGACGAGAGCAATTCCAATTTTTACAAACAAAAGAATAATAACAATAAAAAGTGCGAGGATGAGGAGGAGGAGGAGGACGAGGATGAGGAAGATTCGGGCAGCGCGAAGAAGAAGCGGCAGGCGAGGAGGGGCGGCGGGAAGGGCAGGAGGAAAGCGAAGAGGAGGGGGGAGGGCAAGAGTGGGGAAGATAGTTATAGGAGTGGTGGGGAAATCGCCGCTGCAAGTGGCCACAGGGACGCTGATGGGTCGCTTAAGAAGGACTTGGACGGGGCTGGGAGTGGAGACAGAGAGAAGGGGAGGGTCAAGATTCCGGATAACTACATGACAGGTTAATTTTTAGTGCTTATAGAATTGCGACAATTTCAACTTTTGAAAAATTGTATTGCTCATAGATTTTAAACAATTCCATTGGTGGTGATTGATTTGTGAAAAGAAATCTATTACTTAACAGGAGCAATTCCAGCGTTTAAGGTAGTAACGCAGATGTTCGTCTAGTCAAACTAACGAATTGCCGCGTTTGACTAGTGTAGTGTTTAGATGTGGCAACGTTGCGGAGCAGAACAGTCTGTAATGGCCCATTCCCACTGCGATTTGTCGCTCAGTCCCGGCGAACGAAATTGGGGTACCCGAGATCGGAAATACGGAGAAGCCAGTACCGTAGTTGAGGGAAATGGAGGTATAGGGAAAAGCGTGTATAAGAAAAAATGTCATCTGAATCGCGTATGTGTTTTATACATATATGTTAAGTTTGAGTCAATTCTAAACGACAATTCTGACGTCTGCGTTACTACCTTAAGTCTCATAATTTGACTTTTTAACAGTGGGAACTCCAATTTTGAAACAATTCCATTGTCAGCAATGCATTTATGAAAAGAATCTCATTATTCAGCTCCTATTCAAGTCTAGTTTTTCGATCTTTAACTATTACAATTAAAATTTTGAAGTCCTGCAATTCCATTCTTGTCAGTCGCGACGATTCCAGCTTTGAATTTTCATATTCTCAATTCGATTCATCCTACATCTGAAATTCCAGTTGTCAATTGTTGCAATTTCTGTGTGATTCAATTCCACTTAAAAATTTCATATTTCAAACGACTATTGTCATTTTCTATTAATGTTTATATCAAGGCAATTCAAATTTGAAATTCCATATTTCAAATAGCGATTCCAATTCTCAATTCGTTTCATCCTTCACCTGAAATTCCAGTTGCCAATTGTGGCAATCTTTATGCGATTCAATTCCACTTCGAAAATCCATATTTCAAGCGACTATTCCAATTTTGAAATAATATCTGTACCAATATAATTCCAGTTCGATATTCTATATTTCAAACGACAATTCCAATTTCCAATTGGATTCCACTTTTATTTGAACTTCCAATTATCAATTGCGACAATACCGATTTCATGCAGTTCACAACAGAATTTGAAATTTTTATGTCATGTTCTGAATTGTAGGAAACTGCAATTCCATGCATTGAATATCGGCCATCTTAAATTAAATCTGTTCCGACTGGAATTTCTACTAACTGTTTTTCTGAGTAGGTTGAAATTCCAATTGACCATCCAAACAATACGTAATTTTTGAATTCTCATATGAAGTGTCAATTAAGTTCAATTCCAATTAAGAGCAATTCCATTATTTAATCAGAACAATATCAATTTTTAAAATGTGGAATTCAAACTAGTAATTGGTATTTCTTATTTCTGATTCATACAATTTCAATCTAGAATTTGTTGATGTCATATCAGGAGTTGTCATAAACTACAATTTGGAATTGCATTCGATTAAAAATCGGCTAGCTTAAATTAAATCTATGTTTTCCAATTCCCAATTCGGATTTGTGTCAACTGTTTTTCTCACTAGGTTCAGAATCTGATATCGAAATAATAGAGGCTCACACGATGGAATCCCAAAAGTTGGGCCGCATGAACAGAGTCGAGAACATGATCCGGTTTCCTTGGCTCTGCACCGATTGCAACGACAAACTGTCAAGCTTGGAGAAACTGGAGGAGCACCACGAAGTGGTTCACAGCCAGAGGCCTAAATACATGTGCGTACTCTGTTGCAAGGTCTATGACAAGTACTATGGATTTTTGACGCACGTCAAGAGACATAAAAACAAAACCAAGTTCAGGTAAATATACAATGTAACAAATATTGATTGATATTTTGAACATCTGATTGGATCTTAATGAATCGATTCTAATTTCTTTTCCTGAGTACAATTCGGAAATTGCAATTAATATCTTACAATATTACACTGTTACAATGTTATGATGTTATCATATTACGATGATACAATGATGAAAGGCAACTATATCTCTTAACTGTTATTTCGTAATGGAATTCCAATTTAACTTTGATGTTTTCGTCGTTTCTAGTTGTGACGACTGTGGAAAGTCCTTCGTCCACAAAAAAGTGTTGGATTCTCACAAGGCAATCCATAGCGAGGAACGGCCGCATGTTTGCCCTACGTGCGGTAAATCGTTCAGGCAACAGAGTGCCCTCTACATTCACAGTCGCTGCCATCTCCCCGACACGATGAAAAACCGATTTCCCTGCGACCAGTGTGACAAAAGGTAAATAAAATAATGTTTCCTTATTTGACTGAAACAATTCCATTTTTTAAGACTGCGAAATTCCCACTGGAAATTGCATTTTCTAACTATAACACGGTTTTAATTTGAACTTAAAACAGTTTCCAAGTGTTAAAACGGAATTTCAATCTTTAATTGCGAAAATTACTATTTTTAAACCAAGCAAATCCACCCCTTAAAAACGCATATTTCTATTATTGAACTGCAAGAAGTCTACGTTTCGAGAACGTGTATCATTTTATTATACATATAAACTATGACAATTTCAATTTTGTAAATCGTACAAATCCGATCATTGTTGCAACAATTGCAGTTATGAATATACATTAATCCCATTATTTAGCTGCGATAATTCCATTATTTAGCTATGATAATTCGAGTTTTAAGTTGTGAAATTCCAATATTGAATTGCAATGTCCTCTAAAACTGTAATTGCAATCTGAAACTTATCGAGAATCCACGCAATTCCAGTCCGAAATACAGTTTGAAGTTACAGTTTCTAATTTCCTTCTTCTTTAATTCAAGTTCTTTACATTTACTTTACGTAGATTCTCGACAAAACCGAATCTCGTCACGCACAAGCGGATCCATTCGGGCGTCAGAAATTTCACCTGCGACCAGTGTGGCAAAAGTTTTATCCAAAAGGGTAATCTTGAGGCGCATTTCTTGACGCATTCCGCGGACAAGCCTTACAGTTGTACTCAGTGCTCGAAGGCTTTCAAGACGCCATTACAGTTGAAAAAGCACGAAACTGTTCACACAGGGGCGAAGCCTCATCAGTGTGCCGTTTGTGGGCGAACGTTTAGAGAGAAGGGTACCCTTCGCGAGCACCACAGGATACACACGGGCGCCATGCCATTCACCTGCGAATTCTGCGGCAAGAGTTTCCGGTTCAAGGGAATCTTAACGGTAAGCCCTGCCATGTTTATTATAAATCAGAAGATGTACTGAGTAATATTTTCTTTATGGATTTTTCTTTGATTATTTTATACTTTTAATTATTATATTATGAAATGTTTTTAATTACACCTATCATTTTTTAAAATCATTTTACAGACTCATAGAAGGCAGCATACAGGCGAGCGTCCTTACAGCTGTCACGAATGTCAACATCATTTCACGAACTGGCCCAATTATAATAAACACATGAAACGGCGCCACGGTATTAATACGTCGCATACGAAGAATTTGACCGCCCAGGCCCAACAGGCACAGACCCAAGCCCAGCAGCAGGAGCAGAGAGCCGCTGATAACAGTGCAACACCTGTGGACGGCACCAATATTCATGTAAGGGATTGCCTTCTTGGAGTAATTATTTGCACGATTTACATTTGCATGTTACATTGACATGATGGTAGGATGATATAGGCGCACGATCGTGCTGTGATATGATGATACGTTGATAACTGACGACATTTAAAATAATTGTACATAATTGTTACAATGTAACACTGGTACATTCGTAGAATGTTACAATGTAACAATAATGTAATTGCACAATGTTACAATTTAACAATGATATAATTCCATATTGTTACAATGTAACAATGATACAAAGATAAAATAGTATTGATGATACAAAAATTCGAACGAATATATAAATTATAAAATGACATAATGATGTAATGGTACGGTATTACAATGACAATGATGAAGTGTGTCATATCGATACTGTGCACATCGATCCTGCTAACAGTTATAATGCCATAATTTAAAAAAACGATGTTACAATGTAATGACACAAAAACACAATTTTCATTTGAAATTCCCATGTCTATATCGAGGTAATTGTCCAATAATATTCAGACGTAAGGATAGTCTTAATTTGAAATTCCAATTTGTATATAAAGGCAATACGTATTTTAAATCCCATATTTCAAACGACAATTTCATTTTGGGATTGTATTATCAATTATTGATCTAGAATCAATATCTAGAACGATGCAGTTACAGTATGATACAATGTTACAACAGCATTTTTTATATGAAAATGCTAATGAAGAAAGTAATGATATTATAACTCAATGATACAGTGTTACAATAATGCAATGATACACTGTTATTATCGTCGAATCCAATCTTTAATTACTATAACTTGAAACGATGGAATTTCAGATAGAAATTCCAATGTCATTTTGATGGAATACTCGGTTACTTTTCATTAATGGCAATTCCAATTTTGATCTGAGACAATTCTAGTTTTATAATCATACAATTCTGAATTCGACTTGATACATTTCGCATTTTTATGTAATGCGATTCCATTTTTACTTGGGCACTTTGATTGATACATTGGATATTCCCATTTCGTGATTTATATTTGATCCTAATTTGGAACAACCTATTTTCCACTGCGATTTCGGTTTGTGTTCGATCGATGCGATTTCGGTTTGTGTTCTGTGTGGTTTTAATATTTAATTGGGATCAATTCCAACTGACAATTGAATGTTTGACTCGAATGTAATCTTCACTTGGAAATTACACTTAAGGTATGTATGTATAGGTTTATAATATCAAGTGACAAAATTAAGTCTTGGTGTAATGACGCAAGGATGCGATTCAGTTTTGAATTGGAGCGATTCCAATACTCAGGTAGTACAATTCCAAATAACATTTTCTGTCCTGATTAAAATTCCCGTATTAATTCTCATTTAAATATTCGATTTTCAGATCACTTCTCCCATCATTTATTCCAATTTTCAACACCAAAGCCTGCAATTTTAGTATGAAATCGCCATTTTTGACCGGAACGTAATTCCAATTAACATCTGAAATTAATTTGAATCTTCAAGCATCCATACTCATCTTCAGCTTCAATCGAATGCGTCAAACAGAAATTCCAATGGTCCGTTGAGACAGTGCCAATTTCTAAGTCAAACAATTCTAATTTACAACACCAATTTTTGAACTGGCGTCTAATTTTCATTTGTGACGATTCTCACTTTCAGTTGGGTACAACCTCAACTTGAAATTCGAATTGTCCATTGAGATAATTCCAATTTGGAATTCCAGTTTTTTAACTGGCATCTAATTTCTTTTTGAGATTTCAGTCGTCAGTATAAGCTCAATTTCCAGCTAGGTTCCATTTCAGTTTGAAATTTCAATTGACATCATAATCGGACAATTCCAAGTTGAGATTCTAGTTTCTTGGGATCCAATCGCAATTTGAAATTCCAAACGATAATTCGAACTTGAAATTTCATATTTCAAACGACGATTCCAGTTTTCAGTTGGTCATACACACTTTGTAATTCGACATTTCAGTTTTGGGCAGTTCCGAATTGAAATTCCAATAGTTATAATATAATAATACGATCGCAGAGTGGTTCAATGGTACAATGATACGATCCTACAATGATACAGTCGCAAAATAATGCAATGATACGCAGATACAATGGTATTAATGATAAAAAAAATTCCATGGAATATATGTATAAATGATACAATACTTAACTCCTTGGCTACGGTAGTACCAGACCGGCTATACCAGACAGTAGGAATTCAGTTACAACATAGGTCGAGAACAGCGAAATTTTGGGTAGGGATGCATTTTTGTGAAAATATATTTTAATAATCGAAAAACTGAATTTTTCTACATTAAAATAATATTATTTATTTCTTTGTATTTTGAACCGAATTGCTACTATAGAGGGTGTCCCAGAAGTAGTGTTAGGTCTCGAAATGGGGAGGAGCCATGGTAATTTTAAACAACTTTTTCCTTTACAAAAAAGTTGTCCGAGGCGTGGTAGTCGAGTTATTAACAAAAACCCGGGACCAATCAGAGCGCGAGTATACAACGTGGGCAGGAGCGCGGCAACCGCCTTGTGCGTTGCCTCGCCCGTATGCCGCGCTCGTGACGAGAGCATAGGATTAAAGAAGTATTGCATGCAAAAACGAACTAACAAATTGGTTAAATGTCAGAGGAAAGAAAGCGATTAGTCGTTATTTACGTTCACTGAACAAATGTAACATACTCAATGAAATAACTAACAACCTTATAAATTATAGAGTAGCTAAGATTATAAAAAATGGGAAGAAAATTAG